GGCCGTGTGTTTCAGGACATTCGCGTCGTGATGATTCAGAAAGAGAGGAGAGAGACAGGATGCAGAATCCACGAGATCTGGCAGCCGCTCGAATATCAATTAAGCAGCATGGCTGGAAGTCGGAAAATCCTATTTACAACGACGAACGAGAGAAGGTAGATGCTAAATATTAATGGTCAATATTCTTCATTCCTGTGGAAAAAATTTTGTTGTAAATAAAATGCAGTAATACAGCTGAAAATAAATTGTGCAATATTCAGAAATTTTAGAGCTAAATGAAATTGTTTTGGAACAGGATATAATAATCTTGACGTAGTTGTCAATTTTTATTCTTAAATATAATCGCAGATAGATATCATGATAAAAAATCTTCTGGTTTGAGAATAACAGTAAAAGTTTTTGCAAAATTAATTAATTAATTAATTAGAATTACACAAGAAATTATTGTCATTATTATTGAAAATTTTTTTCTTTAATTTTCAATAATACTGCTTTATTAAATTTTCAATAATTTTCAATTATTCTTTAAATGTTCTTAGATATTAGTAAAAAATTTAATTAGAAAATTATATAATAAAGGCTTTTGCAAAATTAATTAATTACTTAGAATTGCATCAGGAATTATTGTCAATATCACTGAAAAAGAATCGTTTTTCCTGCATAGTGATCAACATAAATAACGCAATTGCCTTTTACGTGAGGAAAGAAATTTTATTGATAACGTAGGAACGTCTAAATATATAAACAGCGTGTATAAAAGTATAAAAAATAAATATTAACAGCGCACACGCGCGCCGTTATTTCGTGAGTCTTATGAATAACGAGTCGGGGTCGCGATGTACTCTCGATGTACTACGCAATTTGGAATATGTCGCGAGCGCAGTCAAGACTACGATAGTATATAGCTACGATAGTAACAATAATAATAATTTTAACAGTAGCAACAGGGAAAATAGGCGAATCGTTCACTTTGAAAAAGATAACACGCTGCTGAGAACGAGATTGCTTTTACGGTCCTATTTGTATTATCTATTTAGCTGTTCTTACGTGAATCACAGTACTTCTTTTTACAACCTTTTGGTGTTATTAAAAACTGTGAGAAAGGCGATTTCCGAGGATCTATCGCAGATCGCAAATCGATCAATTATATATTATTACGAAATATTACTTCGATTTTTGAGATAGTACGCAGCACACTCTCTTCAAAGTAGTCAGTACTTCAATCGCAATAATTCAATCGCAATAAACAGTCGTGATAATTGTGACTGTTATATAGCTAATTTTAATTAACGTTGCATTAAAATTATATTTCTAATTCGCTATTAATTAAAGCATTTCTAACACACATACCTCTCTCACATACCTATGAATACTTATATCTACTAATTGCATCCCGCGTAAGTTTTCTATGTTCAAAAGACTAAATTCGAAGATCTATAATATATACGAGGGTAAATTAAATATAAATGAGAATTTTTTTTATTATTTATTGGACGAGAATAAAAATACAAAGAAAACAAATTATTTTTCTACATATTATAATTATTTTTCACGTACATTCTTTGTTACATTATTGCTAATATATTTTTGCCAGTGGATAGGCAATTTGACGATTCCGTTTTCATAAAAAGTAGTAGGTTGTATCTGCAGCTAATTGCATACGAATTCCTCTACACTTATTGCATCGTCCACGAATCGTGTTGTCCTCCCAATTCTTCTACCAGTGGTCCAAACAAATGATAATCGTATAGAAAGATTTGTCTCAATGCGATTATCATTCGAGGACGATGCCAATATAGAGGAATTTGTTGCGCAATTAGTTGCGGACATAATCGATTACTTTTTATGAAAAGGATCACCAAACTGCCTATCCGTTGGCAAAAATGTATTAATGGAGCAGGGAATTATGTAGAAAAATAATTTGTTTCCTTTATATTTTTATTCTTGTTGTATTCAATAAATAATAAAAAAAATTTATATTCAATCTATACCTTCGTATTACATATTTTAGAATTTACCGTTTATTTTCTGAATGAAGCCTCATTCTATTTCCAAAGTGTGATATAAACGGTTTAATCTTTATATATATTATTGCAGTTTTGTAAATGCAAAATTCTACAATAATCCTTCTCTATATTGATCCTGAGAAAAATCTATCTTTTTTTCCTCTTTATTATTAACGAAATTAGCTTGTCTACAACTAACTCCGCATCGGATTTCGTTATACGCTTAATTGCGTTTATCTTGGTATTGGCGTAAATACGACCCGATCAATTTGACTTGAATTCAAATCCCTTCTAGTCCAGAGGATTATATAATACATTCGATCGGGTTTCGTTTCGCCGAAGATTCGTTATAATCATGCCGATACTCGCCGACGTATCGTGTGTTTACGGATTTCGATTTTGCGTCAGAAATGTATTGCCTGATGAGGAATCGCGCGAAAGCTCCGTCGTGAATGCGATATTAATTAATGTGTAATTGATATCCCACGAATTCGCTGCTCAAGGGAAGATGTCTGTCCTCCTTCGTCCTTATCGTTTAATTGCACTCGCGTATAATTGCTCCGCGGCAAACACTTGCTTGCTTTATTATCTTAAATTATTTTTTTCGACCTCGTTCGCGGGGAAACGCTTCTTATGGCAGTTGATTTGTAATCTACACTAATCGTCCTTAATTGACGGAGTCGATAGGCGATTGGGGCCAATCGCATACAACGATATCACGTATAAAGTTTTCTTAATTCGTATATAATGCTATTTCGCCAACGGCAGACGACGATATCATTGATTGTGACGAGAAGTAAAATGGAAATTTTTCAAAGTTGATATATTTATGTGTGTGTATATGTATGTGTGTGTATATAAGTAGATTCGTTAACACTTATTTTTAAATCGCAGTAGCATGTAAAAAATACAAGAAAAAAGAAATCTTGATAACATTAAATTTACATTTAAACTAAATCGCGATTATTTCGTCTCGGAATGGCAGTGATTGACTGAATTATTTTTTATTCCAATTATATATAATATACTGAAATGTATTCTGCCTATCAAATTATACATTCCTTAACATTACACATGCAAAACAATCAACGTTCTCACGAACATATTGTCGATTAACTTTTCGCGTGATTCGATTCGCTAGCTATTTTCCACAGGCCGATTAAATGAATTATTGCTCTACAATTAAACAGTATATTTTGAAGTTTATATTGTTTGTCAGCTCAAGGAATTTACGAATGTATCTTTTCTTGTAAGAACTGTTTAATTTTTTTTCCAATTGTTTTTCAATTTTTTTATCAACTTTTTGTAACTTGTCTTGTGGAGAATATTCGAGTTTTTTACTTTGATCATATAGTTAATACATCTAAGTGTTATTTCGATATATGTGTATTATACGGAAAGGACGGTTTTGTTGAAGTCTAATAATTTAACTAGACAAATCTGAAAATTTTGTTGGACGATCAAAATAATTATGTAGAATACTGAAATTAATTGCTAGGATTAAAACATTTTTTGCAATATTATTTATCATGTTTGAGATTTCTACGTAATTTATATTTTAATGGTCTCACAAAATTATTTTTAGTTCTAGAGAAATTTTTAGATTTTCAGAAAAATCATTCTTTCCGTGTACTGTTGCAATAAATTCCTTCACACAAGTATTGACTTAGATCTTTTTAGTATCGTTAATTATTGTTCTCCTTTCTCTTGTTGTTTCCAGGAAGATATTGATATTAATTTTCGCAATTTGGTGATAGAATCTCATGTAAAATCGTGAAAAATTAATTTAATTTTCTGAAATAATATAAAATTAAATTCTATCTAGGATTATATCGAAACTTCGATCGACGTCACTTCTGTATTATCATGATCTTTCTTGAGGTCAATGTACGATGACGATTTTTCGTACAATTTCGTCTCAGAATTCGGTTTCAGTATCTGTCATCTTTCAATGGAAACACAAAAAACGACTCGTTTTTTTTTTCGGAATGACGTCAATGCCTTGACTAATGCTTGTCATTTCTGTCAATGGCATCAAGTGAGTTAATTCCTCAGCTATAACAAGAAAGACACACATATAATCATTCCTGTCACTATATTTGTACAATTGCAACGACGGCGTCCAGAACAGCTGCGCTTCTTTCTCGACCAGTCCTCTTCAACGTCGAACTTGTTGGCGACTTTAACGAAGGGATCGCGAGATCGCTTCTCCGTGATCGACTGTTGGCCATCATCAGTGTTGAATCGGGCATTCTTGTCAAAAGGATCAGCCTTTCCAAGGTTTCCTACGCTGGCTCCTGCGCTATCGGCCTGTGGATCGGCACTGAAATCACATAAATGTCCAGCTTCTCGCCGGACGTCTTGTCAACGATCTCATTGTAGTTGACGGAATCGTAAGAAGGTGGGGCAAACAGATGATAAGGCGGCGGCGGGGTCTCTGTAACTCCGGTTGCATTTAACGTCTCAGCACGTTGCGCATAGGGCACTGTCAGAGGTCGACCGCCTCGTCGGCAGCACCACTCGGAACAGCTGACGATGAGAAAAAACGCCACCAAGCCGCCAAACGAGCCGATGTACCAGACTATCGACCATGGATCCAGTGGGTTCTGCATGTCGCCGTTGACTACAAAATGTGGACCTGTGAGCGAGGAACTGGTTAATAATTAGAAATGTCTTGATTTCGCAAATTATGCTATGCAAAGGGATATCAATGGGATACAATTAGAGTGGCATTCATGTAAAGCGGCTCCAGATAACATGGCCAATGTATAGCACTTTAACTTTAACTTTACGTATATTCGCAAATATTAGCATATATTCGTGTATGTCGTGTGTGTGTGATATTTGCTAATGTTGACATACATTGACCATGTTGTCTGAAGCTTAATGAGTATCATAAAATGGTATATTCATGCAAGAATTAAAAGAAAAAAAAATTAAGAAAAAATTCTCTTTACGTAGTATAAATTATTTCAAATATTTTAAAATTTAAGTATTTAAGTATTATTGAAAAATTTTTCTTTCTAAGAGAAGATCGGACATTCTACAATGGAATTACGAGAAGGTATTTTTGACATATTGTTCGCGTCAAAGTAGAAAGAAATATATTTGAGTTACGAAAGAGTGACAAAAGATGTTTTTATTTGCGATCCACGTTACTCTTTGTTGTCTACTTTAAGATGCCATTCTCGATGGAAATACGAGACGATGAGTGTCGCATCTAAAATTAGTTTGATGCTTCGTCGTTAAAGTACTAGTGGAATCAAAAGCGTTATCAAGAACATTATCTATTTTTCCAATTTACATTTGTAAATATTGTTTGTTATCATACGTAGTCAGTTTTTTTGTTATATATCAAAGAAATCGGCAAGAAGCAATATAAAAAATTCATGTTGATTTCATGTTTCAAGTTTGCGCGATAAAATCAGATGAATATTTTCCATTCTCGATATTCTCGCGATATATGGAAAGTTTCTTACAAAAATTACATCCTTTTTTCAATCATTGATGACACGCGTGTGCAAAACGGACATTCTCGATTACTATTAATGCGTGATGTGTACAATGTGAATTCAGAAAGGCGATGCAAATGAAGATGGAACTACTACATATTTGCATAAATCCTTGGCGCATGCGGCGCCGTGAATTGTTTTTTGCAAGTGTGATTTTAACGGGATGCATGCGAACATGAGAACTTGATTTTAAATATCAGTTTTGTATCACCTTATCCAGTAAGTGATAAGACCGATTCTTTACACTATGCGATTATTATTATCATTATTATGGATAGATAATTCTTTATAGTATATTGTGGACTGTAAACAGTGCAATAATATTAAAATTATCACGTAAAATATAACTTCAATGCATATTATACACGTTTTTATTTTTTACATGATATTTTCGATATTATTGTACTGTGAATCATAATCCACTATTATTATCGTATTTAATTTGACACAGCTAAATGTCCGAAAAATTACATCAGATTTTCTACTTTATTTTCTATTATTTTATTACATCAGTTTCTACTTTTAAACATTTTATCCTCTGCTGGTATTTTATAGTTCCGATTAATGAAGTCATATCTCTCGATATTGTTTGTGCAGAGAATTAAATTCGAGTCATAAAAACGAAATGTTATGTCGCGCTTCATATAAACATGAATTTGACAATTTGTCACAGGGAAATATTACAAAGGTCAAGAATGTAACGCGATATTGACGGAGCAAAGTACCATTTTACAGTGATAATTTTCGTTATTATCAATATGTGCAAATATTTCGCGAAACGCTGAAGGTTGCGATTTGAATAATGAATATAATTACTATGCTTTTAATGATTTTTAACCTTCGCGCAAGGTTTGATATTAATGCAAAACACAGAACGGATATAAAAAGAATATATCAATGTTTTTCGATGTATTTGATGTCAAAATATGCATACCAAAATATTATATTCGAATGTGATGTACGAAAATGTGATCTCGAATTGTAACGAGAAATACGCTACGATTCGTGGTGACACGAGGATGGTGCGCGATACTATTATACTATGAAGTCACTCTCGTGAACCAGTAAATATGATTCATGTTCTTACCACTCTCTTCCGTGTCTCTTTCTTTCTCCGTATTCTCCTCCTTCCCCCCGAATGCAATCACGTAGACTGTACCGCCGTCGACGTCGACGTCGTCGTCGTTGGATTTCGAGTCGACCGAGTGACGATTGTCGTTTACACTATGAGTTGCTTTACTGTTCTCCATTCGCCTTTCAACACCGATGTAACTCGACACCGTATGAGCTACGAAAAATTATGATCACTTAATTAATTGCACTTAACCTAATGCGCGTGAATGCATATGTTATGCTTTCTGAATATTTCTTGCGTTATTTCGTCTTTTAATGTAAATTCATAAACAATAGTTATTTCTAATACTTGATGCAATAATTACTTCTAAACGTTCAAAATTTAAGTAAAATATGATTATTATAATTCAATATTGAAACATTAATATTTTGTTTAAATTATGTATATTTATTGAAAGTTATTACTATAAGTTTATAAAAAAAATTCTTTTAGAAAAAATGAAGAAAAAGAAAGTAAAAGAGAAAAAGAGAGGAAAAAGAAGGAGTCATAAATAGACGCAAAATACTATTTTTTTGTTCTCCTTCCTTTCCTATCTTTCTCTTTTTTAGTTTCTTTTTCTTCATTTTTCTAAAAGAATTTTTGAGTGTTGAAACAGTAGTACAGATATTTGCCGTTATCTAGCAATTCTAGCACATTGCATTCCCGAGCAAAATGTAACTGCACGCGTATATCATATCATGCAAAATCTCAGGGCTAAAGATGTTAACACCGAATAAAACTCCGCCTGTCGCTCGTTAACTTGCATCAAGGTACTTCATGTGCATTTTATTACGAGGCGTAGGCCGTGAAGTCAATATACGTTGAAGAAGATGCCGTCCGCACTCCGCAGCTTCGATTGCGTTGTCGCCAGTCTTATTTTGTCTTGTTAGCAAATGCGTATCTTTTATCGCGAATACGAATGATAGCGGGAGAACAGACTCGTGAAAACAGATGTACCTGATAATTAAGTCAGCGATGTCGTTGGTATATTGTGTGAAAAATTCTCTCGGAATAATGAACATTAAGATGGCAATTTTGTAGACAAGAACTTCTCATAGCAAGTTTCCTTAAATGTCAGCCGAGAGACACGTATAGAGTCTGACTATGGAAACAAATTCGATTGATATAATAAAGATCTCCACGCAATCTTCTAAATGGTTCCTTTTCTTAAGTAACGAGATAGTACGCAATGTATGGCTAGCATGTTCGAGAGCCATTTTTGCCTATCGGAGAAATTAAATAGTTAACTTCGTTCGGCAAGTTAAATCCATTCTTAAGGAGTCATGTTAGTATTAATTACCGTGAAGTATCTTCAATTATATATGAACGATCCTGAAGGAAAGTTTCGCGAGTTCATAAAAGTCGACAATTACGCATTACAAATCTTAAACTTTTGTTCTATCTATATAACAGCACTCGTTTTTTTTTAAACATATAAAAAAGTAATTGTAAATAAAAAAATTGATTAATGAAGTTTTAATAGTTTTGCTATAATTTTTAATTTGTGTTTATGCCAATAGTTAAATAGTTTTATTATTGTTATCTCTTAATAAATAAATAAATAAAATACAGTTTTCTCCGTTTTTCTATTAAATTGTACATATGAAGAACGTTTTACAGCCGCTTTGTGCTATTTTTAGCTTATTGTTAGGCCTTACAAAGTAGTGAAGCGTGAAATCGATCGAAGCTCGGGCTTTCCTTTTTAAAGAGAAAGAGGAAGAGAGGAGAGAGGAAGAAAGAATGCCGATATTGTTACAATTTCTTAAAGCGAGGCGTGGTTGATGTCTTTTAGTTCTTCCAGAATCTCATGTCTCTACTCTGACATGATTATCTGTAATATCTGCTACTTACAATTAACAACATTAACTAGATTTTGCTTTGATTTTATGAAAGGATGAAAAATACCGTTCCGATAAATAATTCTTTTTATAGTTTTAAATTTAATTTCTTTTCATTAATGACGTACTGAATATTAAGAGGGAGCATTAAATAAGAATTTGATAGGTCAGATTAAAAATTTAGCTTCTCAAAATCAGATAAATTTCATCTTTACGTTTATATATAATTATTATATTTTCATATAATTAACAAATTTCAAATAATAAACAAAGATATAGAAAGAGATATTCGATTTAATAATGCTACCGGAGATGATACGTATCTGTAAATATGTTCGTTTTTCGTTTGTTGATTTATATAGGTCGTTGTCGAAGGTCGCGTGTATAATTAAAGACGAAAAAAGAAAAGAACAAATGAAAAGAAGAGAGACAGAGAGGAGGAACAACTCGACACTCTTACACGTGTAAATAATATATTCATTATTTCCCGCTAGTTTATTGGAATCTGAGTTGAGTACACGTTTCTGAGTTGAGATCACGTTTTTCCGTTAAAGAAAAATGATTACGGAAACGAATTCCTATTCGGTTGAGATACAGGGGGCAATTTAAGAATATCGCGACAGATGAAAATCTCGATTTTTACAGGATGCGTACGACTGATGTAACCTCTAGCAATAAAACAATTACACATGCATACACATATATGAAAGATCTCGAATACTATGTGTCTTTGTTCACGATTTACAATTGTCAGGGCGTCGCATGCGCATATGGCAAACGGTATCATTAGCGTCGTTACGATATTATGCGACGGGTGTTGCATTTATGTAACAGTTTTCTCTCTCTCTCTCTCTCTCTCTTTCTCTCTCTCTTTTTCTCTGTTTCTTATTCACAATTGCGAGTCATGTTCCAAGCGATCGATGTTCAAATGTTCGAATGCAACGCAATCGGCTACGCCCAAAATGTAAATCTTTTTGCCTATGACCGGTGAAGTTCGCAAGGTTACGTTATTTACGATGTGTTTTATTCTGGGCACATACAAGTTCACTTTTGTTACATCACATGTTTCAACATGTGGCAATCTGTTGGTACAGAGTATCGTTGATAGTCTCTGTCTGCTGGGACAACAATCACATGTTTCCTTTCCGCTAATTTGTCGCTAATACGAAATGCAACCGTCTCTTTCTAAGAAAGAGACGCATCGATTCGAAAAGAGACACTGAAATTGTTATTTATGCCTGGCAAAGTACTTAAGGCTCGTTAACTTCATTTCTGTATGCTCCCTGACGTCTATACTCTAAATGGAGTTCAAGACCGATTTCCTACATACTTATGTTTATCTCGAAAATATCTGCCACTAAATATTATAAGTACACTGTTTACATTTTTCTATACAAAAGTGTTAATTTTAACATTTTTGCGGAAGGTTTACTATACGCTTTTAAGTTAAAATTAACATTTTATTTTGAACAAATAAATATAATAATTAATATATCAAAGATTTTATTTTAGATAATGCAAACTGAAATTTTATTGTATAAAATAGAGAGAGAGAGAGAGAGAGAGAGAGAGAGAGAGAGAGAGAGAGAAAAAAATCACTAGAAATGTCAGATGTTGACATTGTTGAGGCATATTTATTGTATCATTGTTAAGAAACATCGTAATATATACTTCATGTCGCTTCACACTGATAAACTCTTCACGCAAACTTTTGAACTTTGTAACGGAAGTCTGCTTAAAATCTTCGCGTTCAAGCATCTCCTCGTGAAAACGACTCCTTCTGTCGCGAGGATGTTGTTTGTAAAGTTTTACCTGACGCAAGTACGGTGCTGTAGTACATCGTGGTTACGGAGACATCGGGTTGATCGAAATATTTGCGAAACTCCAGGCAGCAACAAAATCGAGATAAATCGCCAACGGTAGCAATGAGTAATATTTTATGATATCTTTCGGATCGTGAAAATTATATAAATCAAACGTGATAAAAAAAAAACTGTTTTACATTGCGATTTTATTAGCTTTAACGTAAATCATATCTTGAGATATCACAGAAATTAATTTTAATGATATTTACTCATATCTTCAATTAACTTTTTTCTTCTTTTATGATCAGGTTATAACATGATTGTCTTCCCGTAATATTTGTATTAATTTTTTCGAGATTACTTTTCTTTTGATTTCTTTTCATTATAAGATCGATCTTCCGATTCATAGGTTTGGAAGATATCAAATTGATAAATATTTTAAAACTTGATTATCGCAGCAATCGGATATTATATCTTTCTTTCATCTTTTGTAAAGTATATACAGTGAGAGCAAAAAGTATTCGTACAAGGAAATTTGTTATAAAAAAAGTCTTATTTGTAGAAAATAAACATTAATTAGCAATTTTATACAATGCATACATTCTGTTCTAACATACACAACTTCGCATGTCCTGATTTTAGAAGCTAAATTTCTCGTCTGTATGAATACTTTTTGAGCATTCAAATAATACAATTTTTAATTTTCGCTTATTTTTCAGATGATATATTGTATAATTAATACACATCTTTTTGATATATATAATTTAAAAAAACATAGTCTATTTTATTCTTTATGAATAAATTGTTAATTATGCAACAAGAAATGATCGTCAATTAAACGTCGAATTGACGTCAATTTGATCTTGAAATCATCGTATTTATATCGATTTGATGACTTATTTCTCGCTGGAAAATATTTACTTTTTGAACATAAAGTTTTTTAAAAAAATATTTTCTCTGTACGAATACTTTTTGCATTCACTGTATGTATACGTGATGACATATTTTTTATGCATCTACGTACGTGCGTTATCGTAATGTGGAAAGATACACGCGTTTACACGCTCAAAAGCGAGGTTTTACATATATACATTTTAATGATCGTATAAATCCGACGATATCACTCACTAACGATTTGTTAATTCATGAAGTTGTTAGATGCATTTAGTTGATCACTATGCAATTCATTAATGTTAATTGTTTTTTTTTAAAGCGATGTAAAAATTCCACTTTAAAAATGAACTGAGAATATAAACTGACGCTAACGTCGCGTCGATTTTAATAAGATACTTATAAAGCCGAATTTCATATCTTTTTTAAAATACGTAAACGTCTCATTTGTGAATATATTGCTGCGTAAGTTCTATTTATGCTGATATGATGCAAATCAAGTTAAAATATCTTGTATCAAAATCCAATATATCGTCATTGTTATTTATGAGGTAAATTTTCATTTTTTTTTCATCTTTGTCGGATATTGTCCTCGTTGTTCGTATTTGTGGCATAAAATTTTTCAAATCATTGACGACAA